TGGAACTGGCACCTTCTCATTTCTCATCAGGGCTCTTGCCACATCACACGCCTGCTCTAAGAAACCCCAGACAGGCCCTGTACAAAAGCCTCAAAGCATTACAAGAGGGCCCACGACTGGGACCAGGTGCGTCCAGGGTCGCGGCATGAAGACCCTCTTAGAGGTACTGTCAAAGGAAGGGGAGGTTCAATAAGAAAAACAATGTAAGAATATTCATGGTCCTGACTGCGCTGTTGTAAAATCGGAACACTGCGAGGCTTGCGAAGCCTTTGTCCCCACAGCAAACATCCAGGAAAACGGTCTGGATTTGTATTTCAGCTGGAAAGGCTGAAAATCAATTAATATTAGCACGTAATGTTTTCATGGAAGGAAAAGAGTAACTAAGAAATACTAACATCTTTATGTAACCAGCACTTTTCCCAAAGGTATCTTACAAAAGTAAAATAGCCTAGGAATTATATCACAAATAATTTGTCACTGCCTTTGTGTTTAACTATTTCCTAATAAAAAATGTCTTGGTTAGGACCAGCAGTTAGCGTAATGGCTATGTTGCCAAACTCCCATGTAATCGACTGTGGTTCGAGTCCCATACCTGGTGGCTTAAACTCATGCCTGGCACGTGTGCGTGGCATGCCCAAGATCCGAAAGGAGATGGGAGGAAGAGAGATTGCGGCGTGGCCACCCTCCGGGGGGTGATTTCTGTCTCTCTGTCTCTCTGTCTCTCTCTGTCTTTCTGGCGAGTGCGTATGCCCTATAGCAAAAACCTCTCAAAAAAAAAAAAAAAAGTGGAACAGTTTTATCCTGCCAGTAACAGTAAATAGCAGTACCTGCCCCATCCCACCCTGCCCTCGTCTGCACATGCCAGGGCTCACCACACACATCCTTTCTGGTGGTGCTTCTAAAGAGGCACTCAAATACGTCTAAGCAACACGCTTCCCAGGGGTCCGGCTGCTGCTGCTGCGCTCCCGCCTGGCGCCGGCCCGGAATGGCGGTAGCACATGGTGCTCTGTGAGGCTGGCCCACGGGAGGGCGCCAGGTCTGCACCGGCGACTGCCCTGAGCGCCCCGGCACCCATGTGTCCACGATCCAGGGCTGGCTGAGATGTCAGGGGTGGGTCGTGGTGTCAAGACCTGTGGGGTGCCTCTCTGTCGCTCCCCCCACCCCTGCACAAGAGGCAGATCGTAAACCTTAAAAAGAAGTCCTCTTACTTGCTGCCTGGTTACTGATTGCCCTTTCCCCCCAAGTCTTCTCCCAGGTAGAAGTGGGACTTGGGCCTTATGACCGCACACTTTCTGTTAGGAGCAAGTGAGTCTCTTCCAAGCACGTCAGTGATCTGGACAAGCCCTTCGGTCTGTGCTTGGGTTCCATCTGCTTCCTACCTGTGAGGCTTTTTTTTTTTTTTTAAGGTTTTTGCCATAGAAGAAGACATGAGTTCACCAGGAAAACAGACAGAGAGAGAGAAAATGAGAAATCACTCCCCTGGTGGGATGGCTGCGTTGCAGTCCCTTCTCTATTCTCCTCCTGGGATTTTAGGCATGCACACATAGGTATCTGGTGTGATTTTCAGGCTGTTGGATTCGGGACTTGAACCATGGTCAGCCATGTGGGAGCCCAGCACCTTAACCACCACACCACCTGCTGGGTCACTGTGAAAAGTGATTAAGGCCATGTTCGAGCGAGTTCCCTGAACAGCACGGTTGGGGCAGAGGAGCTACACCCCAGGCCAGGCACCATGAGTCCACAAGCTGGTCGGGCAGCCTGGGAGCTGGCCTCAGCCTCTTGGGAGGTGGACACTCGTATCCTGACCTGCAGGCCCACCCTGCAGAGAGTCACCCACGTTCCCGAGGAGAGCACTCCACCACCTACGTCTCTCTCCCCAGGAGCTCGTGTGTAAGCCACCCCTGTCATATGTGAGAACATGGCTGTGTATGCTGACGCGGAACAGTGGGCCTGTGGTTAAAAATGGTAATTACCCTCTGATGGCTGCTTAATTTCTGTTTCGGAGAATCGTTTAGTAGCTAGATGCTCTCATTTCTCAAAGGCTCGAACCATGCAGTTGTGGCTGCATTCTCTGGGTGAAGCCTCACTACTCCAGACGCGTTTATGTTAAGTAAATGAGTGCCTCTAAGAAGAAGAAAGTAGGTTACGAAGCTGACAGACAGAATCGAAAAGGTTCTGGTTGACAAGAACTTCGAGGTCATGTAAGCCTTCGAGTTTCCTTCCCTAAACTAGGTCAGCTTTTGATACTGCCATCATTTTTCACTTGTCCTCTTTCGGTCCTGCAGCACCGGGTCCCTTGTGCGGTTTCCAGTGACCTACTTAATTAGAATTTGGAATCCGAACAGAAAGTGTGCTGTCTTCATTCTATCTGGCTCGGCAGACCTTACCACTGCATTGAATTTCTAATCTAGTTTGTTAAAAACCGAGCACCTGAAACACTTCGGAAATGCCATGCCGTGCCCAGGTTCACCGCACTCAGGCGTGTCCACCCCAAGGCCGGCGGGCTGCGAGGGCACTCAGCTCTCTGCCTGGTGCTGCTGCTGAGCATCACGCAGACCTGGCGCGATCCTCCCCTGCCTGAGCCCCGTCTCCTTGCCGTCACAAACAGGGGCTGGACACTTGCATTCTGCCTCGGTCTCGGGCTCTGGGAACGCCTCCTGGGCACAGTTATGTACCAGGCGCCGTGCTGGACACAGGGAAGGGTCAAAACAGGAGCAGAGGCTGCACTGTCACTGAGAACACACCGTCCTGAGGAGGAGGAGCTCGCCTAGCACGAGAACGAACGAGCTGCCCTGCCATCTCCCTCCTCACGAGTAGCACGCGTGCTTCACAGGCATTCAGGGAACGAAGGTCGGCGGAATCAGGAACGGCACCTCAGTGTTCTGAGTCACGTCTAAGGTGCTGCTCAACTTCCAGTGACTCCTACCACCATCCTTGAACTTGATGCAAAATCTTTCTTCATTTTTAAATGCTGCTATGCCATAAAGGGCATGCGTCTGTGCTGCACACATGTGCGAACAAGAGCCAGGCAGAGCCGTCCACCACAGCCTGGCCACCGCAGTCCTGCTTCGTCCAGTTCTCCCTCCCGAAGAGGTCCAGGCTCAGGCATGTGCAGCCAGCATGTACGGGGGCTGCGGCTGGGGCTGGGGCTCGAACCCTGCTTGGCCGTGTGGGATCAGGCTTCCCCTGCACTGCGCTTACCCGCTGCACTACAAAGCGGGTCCCTGGTACAAAATCTTCAGCCAACATTCAAGGTCCTCCATGCCGCGGTCCCAGCGTACCCCGATCCTGCCCTCTCCCCTGCACATAGCTAGGCTCCAAGTCGGCCAACTCCTTTCTCTGCCTCAGAGTCCCTCGGGATTTTCCTCCTCCGTGCCTCCCCACTCAGGCTGCTTCACTCTGACTGTCCTCCTACCAACACAAGCCAAGTCCAGCACCCTTCAAGGCCCACGTCCAGTGTCTCTGCTTTGGAGGAGGGCTGTGGTCTCTCCCGTCTCGGAACCTCTACGGGACGTGCTGACATTTCTCCATGGCTCACAGGCCATTGGGCCCTGCACACAGCTGGGTGAGCGCTTTCTCAAGACAGTGATCCTTGACATCAGAAACTGTCACTCACCACATCGCCAACAAATGGAAGGCGTTCCGTAAGTTATTCCGACAAGACGGATATACAGGGACACCTTGGGACAGCGGTCCCCAACCCTCATGGCACCAGGGACCAGCCTCATGGAAGACAACTCCTCCATAGACCAGGGTGGGGGCGGAAGGGGCTGGTCCTGGATGACCCGTCTCCCACTGCCCCACTGTAACGCACTGAGACAGCCACACACCGCAGGCCTGGCCCTGGGAGCATCCAGTGCTGCTCTTGACCCAACCGACAGAGCGCCCGGGCTGCACTCAAGCCACGGGGGGCCACGCAGACTGAGCCTCCTCACCTGCCACCCACCCCGCTGTGCAGCCTGAGAGCCACATCTGACACCAAGGAAGTAAAGCTGTGCTGGCCTGTGTCCGGGCAAACCTCCATGTGGCAGTGGACGTCCTGGCTATCCACAGAAGCGACTTTCTGGACTGGAGTCCGCAGAACAAGCAATGCCGACTCACCGACTGCCCCTCCAACAAGCACTGCACCGACCCGTGCAGGGTGAGAAGGGCCTCTTCTCCTTCGTCGCACTCAGTGGCCGGGCTGGCCACCACTGTGTTGCTGTGTTTACTAAAGCCTAGGCCTTCCACAGAGAAAATGCAAACTAGAAAGTGTTTTCTCTGGAAGCTCCACATCTCTGTCTTGGGAGGTGCTATGGTTTGAATATGCACCCCCAACTCATGTGTTGAAATGTGGTTGCTATTGTAAAGGTCTTCAGAGGGTGGAAACTTTTTTTAAAGAGCGATTTTTGCGTGTGCTTGCCAGAGAGAGAGAGACAGAGACAGAAAGCAAGAAATCAGCCCCCAGGAGGGATGGCCACGCGCAGTCCCCTCTCCTCCATTCTCCTCTTAGAACTTTGGGCACACACGCACACACGCCTGACGTGAGTTGTGACACTGAGTCCGGGACTCAAACCACAGTCACCTACGTGGGAGTCCAGTGATGTAACCATCATGCCATCTGCTGGTCCCCAGAGGGTGGAAACTTAATTCGAATGTGTCAGTAAGGGGCGGGGTCCGTAGATGACTGGGTTAGATAAGGTCATTGGGGTGGGCCCCCACGACTGAATCCCGGTGGCTTTTGGAGACAGAGAAACCAGACATGCATGCTGCCCCCTCCCCGTGCAATGCCCTGGGCCGTCTGAGGACTCGGCAGCTTCCCCAGCGAGAGGCACTCACCAGCCTCAGCCCTGCGCGGCAGACCCTCCACACCTGCACCGTGGACTGAGGGAGTCTGCACTCCTTGTGAACTGCCAGTCCTGGTGTTCAGGTGCTGCAGCAGAGCTCTGGCCAGCACAGGGCTGCGGAGTGGCTGCCCCAGGCCAGACGGCCGCAGGGGGAGGAGGCCGTGCCCCACCTACCGTAGAAGAGGAGGGCCTTGGTCATGGGGTGGTGCAGGTAGGTCCTGTTGATGGTGAAGAAGCACGCATCGGCTCCACACTGGCCAAGCCTCCCGGTGTCCCCGGTCAGGGGGGACCACCAGAGCATGACAGGGACGTTCTCAGGGCCCAACTCCGTGAGCCCGTCCCAGGTCAGCACTTCTTTCCTCAGGACGGCATCGAGGTGGCGAGGCCCTCCCCCTGTTTCCGTGAGTCCACCTTGCAAACCGGAGACCTTAAACATCTTCTTGTGGAACCTCCCCAGCTCGATGGCGACCTGAAGAGAAGACAGCTGTTAGGGCCTAACTGATGACCCTCCTCTGACATCTCGCCTCCTCTCAGCCATCTGGCCTCCGCTGGTTTTCTGCTGCTGCTCTGACCCGTCCCACCAACCGAGTCACGGGAAACAACACATGTCTGTCATCGTGCGTTTATCAGCTGGGCGTCAGAGCCTGCAACAGGCCACCCAGGCTGAAGCCATGGGGTTAGCAGGGCTGCCTCCTCCTGGAGCCCCTGTGGAGAATCTGCTTCCTTGCCTTTCCTTTCCAAGGTCGTCTAGCGTTCCTGGCCCAGCCCCTTCCTCCCTCTGCAAAGGCTGCTCTCCACCTCGCTCTGGTCAGACATCACCTCCCTCTGACCACATATGACAGGTGCTCTTCCTTAAGGACTCAGGCGGCCACACGGGACCACACGGATACAGGGTGACATCCCTGTGCTCGGGGCATGTCACACTGAGCCCACCTGTACATCAAGTCACACAGGACTGGGTTCCAGGAACTGTGGTGTGGACAGTCTACCAGCTGGGACGCTGAGGGCACATCCCTCCTGCTATCACCACCTGCAGCATCAGAGATGGTCTGCTCCTTTCTTTTTTAAATCTGCTAGGGGGCATGAGCAGGGCAGAGAGGAGAGTGAGAAAGGCCCCAACGGGGGTGGCCAGGCCACCACCATCTCCTCCATTTCTCCTTTCACTCACGCCCAGCATGTGTCTCAAGCTGCCAGGTCCGAGACTTGAACTTCACAAACAGCCACGTGGGATCCAGCTGTCTTAACTACCACACCACAGGCTGGTCCAATAGTTTTGTCTTCCTCTTATTATTATTATTTTAGTTCTAGTTTTCTTTTGCAAAAGGGTACGTACACTCACTACAGAGAGACAGAGAGAGAAAGAGAAGGAAAACGAGAAATCATCCCCCAGGAAGGATGGCCATGCTGCAATCTCTTCTTCCACATTTTCCTCTCAGAACTCTGGACACACATGCACCTGGCATGTTTTTTGAGCAGGTGGGTCTGGGACGTGAACTATGCAGTCAGCCATGTGGGAATCCAGCACCTTAACCAACATGCCACCTGCTGGCCCCAGTAGTTTTGTCTCTTAATAAACCTATAACAAGGTTATTTTCTCTTTTTTTTTTTTAAAGAGAGATTTTTGCTATAGGGTGTGCATGCTCACTGGAGAGACAGAGAGACAGGAAGCAAGAACTCTCCCCCCAGGGGGGATGGCCATGCCGAAAATCCCTTTTCCTCCATTCTCCTCTTGGGATCTTGGGCACACACACATGTGCGTGCTTGGCATGAATTTTCAACCATTGGGTCCAGGACTTAAACAGTAGTCGGACTACCTGGGAGTCCAGCAACGTAACTATTATGCCATCGGCTGGTCCCGACAAGCTTATTTTCTGACTGCTACTAGAGGTCACACTCTAGGGAAAATGGGGTGTAGATGACGAAGTGGTTTCTTTGTGTTGCGACGAAAGGAGTCATGCCCCGCAGCACACTTCAAGGACACCTGCCGCAGGGCCGCCGCGGTGAAGCCATACCAGCATCAAAGTCCCTACGGGGCCGGCTCCGTGGTGCGGCCACAATGTGCTACTCCAGAGAAGCCACACCCCACACGGTGACCGGTCCAAACCCAGCCTGGCTGTCCTGCCCAGTTCCCAGGACCCAGAGGGCTGGAGAGCTCGATGGCAGGGTGCTCGCCTCTCTCTCTCGTGTGCGCGCACGCAACTCTACCAAGAAGAAAGAAATCAAACCTTAGCAGTCCTGAGAAACTCCCTGAAGGTCCAGTCAAGGTGGTGTGTGCTGCTAAGACTCTGTGCTCTGCAGACTGGGACCACAGGGAGGTCCAGGTTTGAGTCCCAGCACAACCTGAAAGTCGAGCACAGAGGTGCTCCTGGGATCCCAGCCTCCTGGGAGGCTGAGGCAGAGGCATGTGGGCCCGAGGCTGGCCTCAGCAGCATGGTGAGACTCTGTCTAAAAGCCAGACAGAATTAAACCAATTTCCCTAGAGTCTGCGTTATGAACATAAGGGACCGGGCACTCTGGGCTCCCATGGCCTTCCACCTCCGGCCCCATTTTCTTCTTTATTGCAGGGGGTCTAAGTCTGGGCCTCGGCTGGGCCATCCGTATTAGCAACCTGCAAGGCAGGGTACCTGCAGCAGGAACCTGGGACAGCTGTTCTCGCCCAGCTGAAGATCCTGCACTGGGAAGGCATTATGGAACATGGTGAGGATGGGCAGACCTGTCTGCATGACCAAACACTGTACCAGAACGGGACACACATGAAGCAGGCACAGCCAGGTCCCCGCGCCCGCACTGTCGGCCTTCCCCGTCAGCCACGGAGCTTTGCCTGTGTGGCCCTTGGGCCCACTTCCCTAGCCCAGGGCAAGGCCTTCCACGGTGCTGGCTGCTCCTGGTGCTGGGGAGAGGTCCACTGGCCCTGATGGAGTCTGCAGCTCCTGGAGAATGCCCGTAACTTTCCTTAGGCCCTCTAAGGTATCCAAGGCCAAAATAACCAACAACCATGCAGTGACAGCCGAGTGGGCAAAGGGAGTGAGAGCGCACTGGCTTCACAACACCGCGAGTCCCCTGTGACACGCAGGGGGCATCGGAGCAGCAGAAACGCGGAGACCGAAGTCCGCCTCAGTGTTCCTGGACGGCAATAACGTGGCTCCTCCCGGTGGCGTGCTGGAATAGAGAGCCGCAAACTCTCTTTATACCCGGCCTTCCCCTGCAAGTGTCCAACCAGGAACTTAGAAGAAAGACTTTGGAAACTGTGGGTGGTGAGCGTCACAGCTGAGGTCTGGCCACGCCCTGACCAGCGTCTCTGTGAGGGTATGCTCACTTACAGGTAACAGGTCATCTTCAGGAGAGACTTTCCTGCCAAATGTTTTCTGTTGTTTTTTTATTTTTTTAATATTTATTGGGGCCAGCAGATGGCATGAAGGTTAAAGCAGCTGGATTACATAGGGTTGACTACAGGTTCAAGTCCCAGGCCCAGCAGCTTGAGAAACACACCAGCTATGTGTGCATGCATGTCCGAGATCCTGAGGAGGGACTGTGGAATGGCCATCCCTCTCGGTGCGCTTTCTTACGTGGCCTCTCTCTCTGTCTGTCTTGTTCTGGCAAGTGCATGCACCCTACAGTGAACGTTAAAAAAGTAATAATATTCTCAGACATCACTGCCGGGCCATAGGAAAAATGGGAGGACAGAGGGACACGTGAAAGCAAACTATGAAGACCATCAGCCAAGTCCACGACCCGGCAATTCAGAAGGATGATGGCCCAGTGTCTTCTACAGAGCCGGGACATGGAGTAAAAGGCAGGGCAGGGGACTGGCAGGTGGCGTGGTAGTTAAGGCACTGGACTCCCATATGGTCAACCAGGGTTCAAGTCCAAGACCCAGTGGCTTGAAAATCACAAGCCAAACTCAGCACCAGGGAGATCAGGCCTTCCCTACAACCACCCACGGAGCAGCAGACAGCCCAGTCCCCGGTGTGCCTCCAAGACAGACAGGGAAGGGGTCAAATGTGCCCCCGAGCAGGTGGGAGTGGCACAGTGCCAGAGTGTTCGCCAGAGTGCTTTTTCTCCATTACCAGTAAGAGAGGAAGAGACAGAGGGGAAGAGAGAGACACAGAGACAGGCATTTTGGGCAGGGTCTCTCTGGGTGGTAATCCTTCTGCCCAGCCTCCCTATTAACCAGGATTACAGGCGTGGGCAACCACGTTGCCTTGTTCCAGTCTGCCTGGGAACAGAATCCAGGCCTCCACGTGGCTTCGTCTCCTGAGCAGGGGCACCCCCTGCACCACCACACCTGGGCCCCGAGTGCTTTCCTCCACATTGCTTCGGCCCTGATCCGAAGAGAGAATCTGTAGAGAGAGCCCACAGCTGAACTACTCACCTCCACAAAGAACCTTTCAAAGTCCTCTGGGGTGTGAAATGGACTGTGGTCCTCGAACTGGTGTAAAATATGTCTGATTCACATCTACACTTGCACTGTGCACTTTTTTTTTAAGGGGAGAGATATTTGCTGTAGGGTGTGTGCACTCGCTAAAGAGACAGAGATGGAGAGACAGAAAGTGAAAAATCACCCCCCCCAGGGGGGATGGCCACACCACAATCGCTTCTCCTCCATTTTCCTCTTGGGATTTTAGGCACACATACATGCACATGCACCCGGCGTGAGTCTTAGGTCTGGGACTGTGGTCAACTACATGGGAGTCCAGCAACGTAATCATTATGCCGTCTGCTGGGCCTGCAATATGCACTTTTTAATTTTAAATCAGCAAAGTACAGTGTAACTGGCTAAAGAAAACGAATGGGGGTTCTGGGGTGACTCAGTCCCTCCCCAGTCTTGGTCTAAGGACGTCAAGGCATCTCTTCAGGCAGCTGTCCGGGCTCCGCTCGCTCCAGGGTGCAGACCAGCCTTTGCGCTCAGCAGCCCTCTGCTCCCATGGGCACCATCGTTCAAGTCCCAACGACAGGAGTCTCAGGAGACTGCGACCCAGCGAAGCAGACAGAGCTCGCCTTCTGTGTCTCTAAAACCAGGGCCCTACCAGGTCACAAACTGACCTGATCTTGATGACTTGGTTTCTACTTGGTACACCCAATCACTACACTTCAGCTTCATCTGTTAAAAAGGAAAAATATATTTTCCCTATTCATGAAAAATTAAGCAAAGAGTAAAGTTCTAAAATAGGGAGGGCATGGAGGGAGGCAGAGGCCCCGGAATCCACACCACACGCCCCAAACCCTGGTACCTGGAGTGTGGCAAGCAGGAAGATGGCCGCTGTGATGCACAGGCAGGAGGCCAGGAGCTTCTTCCTCCGGACCCGCACCATGCTGCCCTGCCCCGGGAGGCAGGCCGGCCAGTTACCAGGCGTTCTGGCGTCTGCCCACAGCCTGAGGCAACTTCACGCGGAGGAACCATCTGGGTGCCGATTTCGTGCCCTGCTGCTCCAGCTGGGGCCTGGACTCCATGGAGGACTGAGACCCGAGGTCTGGTGCGGGCTGGCCTTGGCACGGAGCAGGCACAGCATGTGGTTCTCGTGAGCTATCACCAAGCCAGCGGGACAGTCTTCCAACGGCGGGCACCACGGTCTGCAACAGACAGATCGTCTCAGCCACAGAGCACCTGAGCACAGGCCAGTTACTCGCAGTCCTGCGGCCTGTCGTGGAGAGACCCAGAGGTCTAAAGCCACGAAGAACCTTTGCGATGGGGTCGTCCTAACACTCTACTCACAGGTGAGAAAACCAAGACCAGAAAGGGGTTATGATTCACTCGAGGCCAAGCAGCCCATTAGAGAGTGTCGATCAACAATTAGGTCCCCAATTAAAAAAAAATATATATATATATTTATTTTTTGTTGTTATTATTAAAATTTCCCATAAGACACATGCACTCACCAGAGAAAGACAGAGAGAGAGAGAGTGAGAGAGACAGCAAGGCGCCAGGTCCAGGACCCAACCACAGTCGGCCCGTGGGAGTCCAGTGCCTCAGCCACCACGCCACCTGCTGGCTCCACCAGGTTCCACACTTAAAATCCTTCCACTTAGTTCCCTTGCCATGGGAAGACTGAGTTCCAGGACATCACTTCCTTCTCTCTAGGTGTCAAAGGGGTAGGGAGTAGAGGAGAAAGCACCAGGACCATCCACTCACACACACACACACACTCACACACACACACACACACACACACACACACACACACACACACACACTCACACAGAAAAAATAAAGGTGCAGGCTTGGGTCAAAAATGATCATGATCAACTGACCGCCCAGTGCCCCAAAGAAGCCAACTTCAGCACAACAGAAGGAATTCTGGCCCCTGGTTGGTTATCGGTCTTTCACAACGTCCACAATGCCTGCCTGCCTCCCTCTCTCCCTCTCCCTTCCTCCCTCCCTCTCTCTCCCTCTCTCTCTCTCTCTTCCTTCCTCCCTCCCTCTCTCTCCCTCTCTCTCCCTCTTCCCTCCTCCCTTTCTCCC